TCATTAGAACATATTCGTTCATTAGAACTTCTCATTCGTTCTATAGAACTTCTCATTTCTTCATTAGACCTCTCTTTCGTTCATTGGAACGCCTCATTCGTTCATTAGAACCTCTCATTCGTTCATTAGAATTTCTCATTAAGCTATAAGTATTATAGTTTTATCATTACAACGCACAGTCCAGTTTGATACAGGTTTATGGAATCGAATAAAAGTCAAATTACAGATTATTAATTTATTAAATATTACATCTGAATGTTTGTGTCATTTTAATTCATGGTTTTTTCTTAAACAAACGTTTCAATGTTACAAGCATAATGCACTTCTAACAAATGAACGTAGACATATTGATTAATTTTAGATTGCATACACATACACAGACAAACAATGCACATAAATATATATTAAGTAACTCGTTTTCCACAATTCCTGTCACGCTAATGGGTCGCTACGCTTCAGTTTAGTTTTTATGCATTTATATTTTGTGCTTAATTTTTTATTACATACATGAACACGATATTTAACAGTAAAACTGTTAAAATATCACGGACCTTAAAATTACGACGTAATTTGTTATGCGCAAGCTACGCGCATACAAATACATCAATGTTCGACAGTCTGTGGCAGTACGGAACGCTAGTCAGGTGTAATAATGACACGTTATTTTCACAACGAAAAATGCAATCATTTACAGTAAAATCGTAAAAAAACATTAGTCAGACCTTAAAAATCACAATGTTTTCCATCTAAGGGTAAGGTTACTGATAAATATTTGTTATAAGTTTGCTACAATTTATTTTATAACTGAAACTGAAATAAAATTGTCAGTTGGAAAAAGTGCTGTCACTTTTTTCAGGTGAAATCTGTAGTTGTTTTTATAATTAGGTAGTTAGTCGTTAGAGATCAGGAGTCAAGCGTACGCAAGCAACTTAGATTCGAGAAACTTAGGCTCGCCGGCATCAAATAAAATAATTGCAATTTTAAGTGCTTTACCACGTGCTTGGCGGAGTGACCACATCGTGAGAACACTTACATATCTGTAAAATAAAATATTTAAAGAACATGTGAAGTCTGCCAACGCGCACCGGTGCAGCAGATTCATTACTTTGAAATATCTCAGAATATAGGCTGTAAAACTACATTAACACGGTTATTAGTAGTTAATAGTATAGTTAGTACTCATGACTTAAACATCAAGATTACTGTTTTCCAATTCAATCGGAGTACTCTTACTCGATTATAGCTCGAAAAATAAATACGCTGTTAGAGATACTACTCTTGAAACTGAACAACTTTCATTATGGGACCAGAATTTAAATTAGGTACAGCATTAAAAATTAGAAGTATTAGTTCTCAGAGTTGTTTGATTATTCAAAGTTAATGGTGTATAATTGTCAATAAAAACATTATTTGCTGCATATAAATTTAGGGTTAAATTAAAGTTTTATCTGGGATCCCCGAAGCACAAATAGTGGGCGGCAATTTGTAGGTTTCCCTTATGTTTAGCCAAGATTACGTCCGTATTTTTAAGGTCCGTTGTTTTAATATATTTATTCTAATTTTCACTGTAGGCAAGTTATTATATTATTATACATATTTGTCTAAAATATTTAAGTAAAACTAAATACTAATACAACAATAATATGACACCAACTGTAGAATGAACAAAATGTCTTTTTTTTTTCTTAAAACAACATCGATGTCTGTATAAAACCATAGGCGCACAATCAGTAGCTCAAAACCGTGTGACAAAAAAGAGCGCAAAAAAAATTAAACCAAAAAAAAAATGAAAAAATGTCACATTTAATTTGTCATAAGTGTACGCAACCACTTGGTCAAAAATTCCAGGCCACTATGTCTTTATTTAATTATGTCTTGATTTCTATTTCATCATTGAGTTATATGTACTACGTACTATAGAAGCTATTCCAAACAAAAAATGTGCACTACTCACGCGGGAAACAGTAGAGTCGCGCATGCGCAGTTGATATAAACGCGCGAAAATTATTATAATAAATAAATGTTTATTCAGATTGTATTGTTAATAGAGTACATTTTTTTAATTTTCCTTTATTTTGCATATGTGCTAATTTAATATAAAACTATTATTAGCGCCGCTCCGCACTGCATGAAGGTGTACGGATTGCAGTACAGTTCTTTTGAACATACTGAGTGTTCGGAATGCCATATCTAGTGCGTAGTACATATATATCGTATATATATATATATATATATATATATATATATATATATATATATATATATATATCGATGTATTTAATTTAAAACATAAGCTTTTAAGGTATTACTCTATTTTCCTATTATACAGGAACAAGTACATATTAGCATATTAAAATAGTACATATCGTATAAATAGCATAATGCAAAGGTATTTCCTAATTTGTCCAAAAAATTTTATTACCATTATTTTTTTAAATTATCAATCTAATTAAGTAGTTATAATTTTTACTGAACACTGCATAAAAAATTAAGAAAAATTGGCAAATTAACAATGTGTTAGTCTGTCGCCATTTTATGTCGTTTCGGACTTACTTCACGCGTGTGTGTTGTGAAAAAAAAATCTAAATTATTATAATGTAAGTATTTATTTCTTCACACAATCGCGTTAATTTACTGGTTGCATTCAATTGCACCGAGTAAACGGTAACAACGCCAAAAGAAAAGTAGGTGCTGGTATTGCAAAGCAATTATTAATGAATGTGAAGATAAAGATACTCTAGCTACTCTAGCAATACTCTAGCTAGAGGCATATAGATAATATCACCTGAAGATGCCTCGGGTAGAGGCGAAACATGTGTCGTATTGTCGTCGATGGTGCGTCTTTCCTAGAATAGTGGTGTTGGAAGTAGTGGTGTTGGTAGCAGTGGTGCTGGGATTAGTTGACGCAATTGAGGCAGGGCGGGAGGTGTTCTTCAAACCAGGTAAGATACATCATTTAATTGAGGGGAAGGTTGCAAAGTGACTATTAACATCTTTATTATAATGGATTTTCGCAAAGTAACGCCTGATTCTATCAGAATGTGAAAATGCTCTTGGCATTGAAAATGCTTGTTGTTAGTACCCTTATTGCCAGAACTTGGTTAAAATTTAGCAATTTTTTAAAATATGGTAACACCGTCAGAAATTCGATAACTGTAGTACTGCACGCGATCAAAAGCACAGCCACTTGCAAGCACAATCAAAAAATCGCTGGCACATCTGAGTTTTTAACCTTTACAGTGGTCATTTCGGTTGTTGCGTTAATAGTAAAGGTTTGTGTTCTGAGGAATATCCTAATCTAATCAAGAATATACTAAAATATTAATATGTCTGTGTAGAAGTTACTGCGATTTGTATATACGGCTCAGGTATTAGGAGGTGCATTTGGCGAAAATGACTCTTTCTAACAAAGAAAATGATAAGGAAAATCGACAAGAGGTCAAATATTGTTATTCGACGGCAGTCCGCGTCACATGAATTGCCGTGTGGGAAAATTTAAATACAATACATGCGGTACGAAATTTTTTGCTGGTTATTATTTTATTTATTCACTAAAAATAGGGTTACACTTATACGTTAAAACACCCTCAAAAACAGACAGGATTTTTTACATATTTTATGGAATGAAGTTACTTAAAAAGCAATATTTTCTGATTAAAATAATTAATAAACAATATTAATTTATCCTTAACAATGTACGTAGTAAACGTGTACCAAAAATTCAATGCAATATTTTTTGTGACAGTGGCATAATATAATGAAATTTATTTGCCTATCCTACTCAATGGATTATAGTTGTGTAACAAAGACTGAACCGCGTTCTTATTTTAATCGCACTGTACGTGACTATCTTTTATTAAAATTTATTTAAGTAAGTAAGAAGACCTACAAGGTTTCCATTCCTTTTTGAACTTGTTCTCTCGATGAACTTTGACCGTTAAACTTGTCCTTCGGTCCTAAAAAGTGAAGTAGCGTAAGTCGTCGGTTGTTATTAGAAGAAAAAAAAACTACTATCTGTTCTCGGGTTTCTGATTATTTTATAATATAGTTGTACGACTTCTGATCGAATTTGACAAGATTTTGACGTGAAGTTTCTATGATACTGTACATCTATGGTTTTATATGTTAATCAAAACAGCCTAAGCGCTCACTACTAAAAGAAGTATGGAAGACGAGTTTAAAACTAACATAAACTACATACCAAGATACTTTAATATATACGTTAAAGAGAGAAGTTATACATTACCTTATTTGTTTCATGTTCTGATAATGGATGGTAAAGCGACTACCTTAACAATTGTTAACAATTAGCTTATTTTGAGGTAATTCCTAACGGTATCTCTTTTAAACTTCAGAACATGACGTCTCGTTCGTATTATGTCGACATTTTTGTTTGATAGTCATCAACCACTATGGCTACACTCATCAAAATCGTAGAGTGATGTGAAAGAGCCAAATTGTGTTTTAATTACATAGTATAATTAGGTATATAAGCCCATCTTATTAGAAACAATAATCTAATGCTAAATACTTCGGCCTGCTGCGCGGCAAATACAGAAAGTTTGAGAAACGAAAAATAATTTGAACTATTTTAAGGAAACACTAAGTCATTATATAACACTACAAAAAATAACAAAAAACGCGGAGATTTTTTTTGTAACTATTTTTGTCCAAAACATTGAATCCAACGGATCGACAACAGGCCGAGCGGCGCACATCCATCGCAGTTACATAAAGAAATAATAGGAAATAAACGTAAAGGTTACTTTCGAGAGCGAAAGTGAATTAACCGAGCTTAGTTACATCTGCCGTATTCTAACGTCGAAGTCGCCCCGGCGGCAGACAGCGCTCGCTTCGGGCGACTTCGGTTCGCTTCGGAGTTCTTCGGCTCACTTCAGAACGCTTCGGTGTGCTCCGGGGAACCCCCGGGCGCGCGGGCCGAAGGGCGCAGGCGCGGGGGGCGGCGGGCGAGTGGGGGGTGGGGGGCGGCGGCTAAGTGCTCACACCCACGCCATCCAGCCTTCGTACATCATGCACAGGTTCTCTGCGCTTGTCGCTTCCGTTATTATATACTCCACCTGCGCAATTTAAAGCTTAATATAGCGTTACCGCAGCAGACACGCGTTTACGAACATATTTTGACGTCTCATTAATGTTTGTGACAAAAACGTGTAACACGTACAGTGTGCATGTACTAGTCCATCTTAAGGCGCTGTCTGTATGTGTACGTGTGTTCATGTACGTACATATACACATCTGTACGTGTATGTGCGTGTGCGAACATATTCGTATCTGTACGTGTACGTACAAGTTCGTATCTGTACGTGTACGTACCTGTTCGTATCTGTACGTGTACGTACATGTTCGTATCTGTACGTGCACGTAAATGTATGTATTTAAACGTGTGCGTGCGTGTACGTGTATGTACGTATAGATACGTGTGCGTGTACGTAGATGTTCGTTTTTGTACATGTTCGTATTTGTATGTGTACGTGTGTAGGTGTGCGTGTGTGCGCACCTGGTCGTGCGGCGCGAGCGCGCGGCGCGGCGCGTCCCGCCCCTCCAGCTTGAGCCGCACGCGCTTCCACACGCCCGCGCCCATTGCGTTGCGCTGCTCGCTGCCCGCGCCTGCAGTACACCACACGCTTTACATCTCTTCTTATTTTTAATCAACCATCAAAGTCCAAAGTCCACTCGTCATGGGAGGAGGGCATTTGCCTGAAGCATCACGCTTAGTATGGTGAAAATCGCAGTACTAGACGTGAGTACCCTCCAACGCCGAAATAAACACAGGTCGTACGATTTTTTATAGTCTTTCTTACACTCCCCTCTTAAAACACACTAAGCGAAATGAGCCATCGAATTCTTTACGCCATCTCTAAATAGAAACTTCAAGTTTTCTATAGTTTATTCATTAGGTGGTAACCCGATCTCCTTTCTAAAATTTATGACGCTAGTATAAAACTATGAAAATGAATGGAAGTAACACTCATTGAAGCTATACAACGCCCTCACAGAATACCAACGTAAAGTAGCAGCTTAATGCTGCTGTGTTTCGTATGGTGAACGTAGAGAAACGAAGACCCTTTTTACTAGAAACAAGGCATTCCATCTTAGTTCTCAAGGCTAATAGTTGTTTCCATTCTCTTTCCTAGTTATCTGTTAGCGTTAACGATTGTAGAATGTCAAATTGCCTAGCCACACTGGGACACCCTTTTGTACGAGTACCTTGTACACCTGTAATCGATGTAACAAGCAATAAGATCACAAAATTGTATGAATCCTTTTCTATATTGGGCAACATAAAAAAATCCAGTCAAATATTCCCTTTATCAGCGATTGTTATTATTTCCATTATTTCATTAATTTTCTTCTAAAATGACGTACGAGCTCGTAGCAGTAAGCTCGTAGAAGTAAGCTATTCTTATTCACTTCTATACTTCTATTAGATCTTTACTTATGAAATTACAGTTTTTTAAAACACTACCCACCACTTTTAACAGTTATAGCTATGGTTTGACTTGAAGATCTAGATTAAAATAATTTTATATTACAAGGCATGGCATTCCTGATTCGAAATTAGTTATTCATTTGGTTTTTTTAAGCTCCTTTTTACAAAAATTCTGAACGAGGTACGATACAGAAACATATATATGCGTCTCAAACGGCACGCAATATCGACGAAGTATACGGACTTTGCATTTGCTAACGATCAACCGTCTCAAACAACGACCGAGCTGGCGTCGGCTTTTATCGTCTGATATAAGTCACATACATAATACACAACAATATAATTAACATCATTAGTGGTCAAATCAGTAAAATAAAGAAGCGTAACAAATAGCACCTCACGAACTAAGGCGTTAAGCGAGAAGGGAGAGGCTCACGTGCAAGCTCGCTTCATATTGCTGAATTGGAATAGAAAGGAGGAAATTTATAAACGAATAATTTAACTGTGCTATGAGATGGATGCGGCCGTATCCATTATGTCAGTAACAAAATATTACGGCAATTTCATATTTAAAGATCAGGGTCATATTTGTTAAACATTATAGTCCGACAAATTTGTAAAAATTGACAACATTGTGGTATCGTGCAGAAAATACCATTTAATAAAGGTATAAATTTATAAAAATAACGAATATAATACTTTTTATTTGATTTTATTGCTAAAATATATATTATATTCCTAAATTATTATAACAAAAAACCAAAACACCATTTAAGTGTTTCTGCATATTACATTGCAACACCTTTTTTACTTACACTTAATGCTAGAAAAGGACAACGTTTTCTAGCTGGTGTGCAACTATCAATCAATACAATACACTGTGATTAAAGTAAGTGCTGAGAAATGAACCAGTTCTTAGCAATTATTATTTTATATGTTTATGTGGTGAAATAATAAATTAATTAAATTCGGGAAAGTCGTCCAGTTTATTAATGTACTTTGTTGCTCTGATAAAAAATAATTTTGTCTATAATTAGTAGAGCTGTAAGGAACGTAAAATTAAGTGCGTTGTTTCAAAAACTTTGCGGGAAGGAAGCCTAGCTTATGAACATATGCATGTTTTATACACATAAACCTTCCTCTTGAATCATTCTGTCTATTGATGAAAACCGCATCAAAATCTGTTGCGTAGTTTAAAGGATGTAAGCGTACGGACGTCGAGACGCGATTCTGTTTTATACTATATAAAAATATCATATTTTTGCACTTAAATTGTAAATGATTTACAAATCGTCTTTGAGTAAACTCTAGTCTATCGATATGAATATCGTATTGTGGACTAGAGACCCGACCCATCTTCGCCTGGTTCTAGGATCTACGAGGTGTAATTCAGATCTAAGATAATTATCAAACACCATTTATTTCAACAATTTTCTGATTTCACAAAAATATCTTGAAGCTTTTCAAGAATAGAATATAGCCTAGTACTCTTGGTTTTACTCTTTATCTGTTCTTAAAGTTTAATTACAATCGGTTAAGCCATTCCGAAGATTAGCCCGGACAGACAGGCAGAAATTTATTGACGTGACAGTATTCTTCGAATCCATGTATATAGATCTTGCAGCAAAGGAAAGTTGTTATAACGAATTTGTTAAAAATAATCTTTATATCATCAGCATAAAAGATAAATTTATAGTGTTGAAAACAAGAGCTTACATCGTTGAGAAATGTGTTGAATAGCAGCGGTCCTATAGGAATCCTTGGGGTACTCCAGAAGGTACAGCAGCCCAATGAGAAGAGTATCCATAAAGAACAACAGTCTGTAATCTGTTCTTAAATAATCCACTTGAACAGATTGACTTGGATTCCAGCAAAGATAAGTTTTTGAAGAAGTTGTGATCAATACGATCAAGCATTACTATAGTCCGTAAAGATAGTCAACCTGCATACGCGAATCCATGGCCAAAGTGGTACAATCAATATATGTTAACAGATTGGATGTCGTTGGTCGATCGATTCTTGTTTGTAAAACATTTTTCATCGTATTGATAGGAATCAAAAATGAGTAAAATTAAATGCGATGAAATACGTGACAATAGTTGTATTTAACGTATTGATTACAAATTATTTGTTCAAAACTTTTCTCTGTTGGAATCCAATACTATACTAGTGACATCTATCAGCATTTACTTGTAATTAGAGTGTTCATAGCACAGCTGTTACTTTTTCAGCAAGATCAGCAATATTTAGAAGTCGGCGCACTCACATCAACAGAATTGTGAATTTCAGGCTGGACGTGTAGTCCTGTCTTTTTCGTAAACTCGTATATATTATTAGGTAGATTTGCTTTTTTGATTGATTTGATATGATTTGCACAGAATGAGCACCTTTGCTATTTACAAAGGCGTTGAAGGTCTAGATATGATATTTGTGGCACATTGCATTGAACCTACCTAGTATGTGTGAGATTTAAAGTCTTTAATTAGCAAATATCGACTTAACGTTATATGAATAGTAAATTATTGAACCATGTGAGGCAGAGGTCCAGAAACACCGCGGCGCTATAATTTATGTAAGAAACTGATGTGACAAACTTCGTCTAAAGGCTTTAGTATATTTCATTTACAACTAGCCACCTGCCCCAGCTTCGCCTGTTAAGGAGATTAAATTAATGTGGCGTTATATGGATTTAAGATAGTCAAAGACCATTGTTTTCACCAATTTTTAGTTATTTTTGAATCTTCAACGTTTAGGATAAAATATAGCCTAGATCCCTCCCGGCATGGCCTTCTATCTGTTCGTAAAGTTTCATATCAATCGGTAGATTCTTTCCAAAGATTAGGCCGGACAGACAAACATGCAATTTAAAAAAAAAACAAAAAATTTTTTTTTTTTGGTTTAAGCTTAATAGCATACAAATAATCCCCTAAGTTTAATAGAAGCTTTCAATATTATAGACAGACACTTCAATATTATTTATATGTATAGATATAAGGGATTTATTGAGAATGTTTAAAATTCTTATAATATAAAAGAAGAACTTACCATGCTTTGAGTTCGTAGCGGATTTAGGTGTTGTGATGGCCACTTGTCTTGTCAGCTTGCGTCCGCTTTGTTCAGTCCACGTGTTGGGAAGTCTGTGGAAGAAAAAATTGGGTAGAATTTTCGGGATACTCCCAGTAGTCTCTTACTAGTAGGACTACGGGGAATTTCCTTCCCAGTAGTCTTATTGTTCTACAGTCGTCTATGGACTATGAGTCTATGGACTTCCATTTGGCACGATCCTTACACACCTCTCTCGTCTCCTTTACATCCATATATCGCATACATGCTCGTCGGTTAAGGGTACTTCTAATCTGGCCCATTTCCAATATATCGTCAATTTGGTCGATAAACCTTCGGCTAGGGCATCCTTTTCCGACTCAACCGTTCACCTGCAATATAAATTCGCTTTCCTATTTCCTTGTCACTGTTTCCTAATTCATTCTTTCTACATACATAAACCACCAAAGCATTCATTTCTTAATCCTAGTCACAACATCCTCTTGCAAAATCTTTTCAATAGTCTTACCAAAAAAATTTATATCACTCAATTTAGACCAAAAAACGTTTACTTATAATGCGTAATTTTGACAAAAATAAACTTAAGAATAGTTATGCAGTTTAGTTTTACAGAGGTAGGGCCACTCGGCAGCTTTTGCTATTGCACGTATGGGCCGGCTCGAGCCGGGGTGGTGGTACCACGACCTCACAGAATACCGGCGTGAAGTGGAAGCTCTACTACCGCGTTCCGTCTGGTGTATGCAGATGGCTGGAGACCCAATTGCCCCCCCTCCTCCCCATCAACATGGTAGCGGAATTAAATGTTAGACTACCCCAGGAGGGTACCCAAAACCCTGGAGGCTCTTTCTTTGCGTCCAACTCGATTCTCGATTTCTCGATGCCAAATGTGTGGTTCATACAGCGCTTAGTTCTCAAAGCACTTCTCTCCCTGAACATCCACAAGTCGAGTAGGCCTGATGGATACCCCCCCCCCATGGTGCTGAGGACGTGTGCTTTTTTTATAGAAGAGGGGGCAAACGAGCATACGGTTCATCTGATGTTAAGTGAATACCGCAGCCCATGATCCACCGCAACACCAGCGGAATTGCAGGTGCGTTGCCAGCCCTTTAGAAAGGAGTAAGCTCTTTTCTTGAAGGTCCCCAGATCGTTATAATAAAGTATCTAGTAACTTGCTTATAATAAAGTATTTTGATTAAAACTACTTTTACGGATTTTATCGCTTTTTATTTATTGGTCACGGGGGACTGAGGCGACTGACGTCCCGATGTCAAAGTTAACCCGGAGTACCTTCAGCTTTTTAATTATTGCCTTTGGTCCGATCTACGCAGAATGAACTAACTGTGTTTTGAAGTCTTGCAGTGGTATGCTTGGGTTGTAATGGATACGTCGGATTACAATTTTAAAATACAACAACTTTTGTCGGATGAAAGTACATACCGTAAGGTTAAAACAGACCCTACAACTAATACGCTTAAAACAACTAGCGATCTAATTAACAAATACTCCGAGAAATTGAATCTAGACGTCAATTCGATGATACCTTCGTGTGCAAAACCTCCCAAGTTGTATGGGTTACCAAAAATACACAAACCTAACGCTCCATTACGTCCAATAGTGAGCCAAATCGATTCGCAAACTTACAGATTGACTCAACACTTAGCCAAAATATTATCACCACTCAGAGGACACACAAGAGCACATACTAAGTGATTCATACCATTTTGTCAGTGAGACTGAGATAAAAGACCTACGTCTTGCTGACAATGAAACCATGGTCAGTTTTGATGTTCAGTCTCTATTTACATGCCTACCTGTTGAAGACTGCATCTCAATTATAACTAGGAAACTAGATGAAAATAACATGCCACCAGAATATGCAGTGCTACTAAGACCACCGAATTGTGGAAGGAAGAGTTTTACAAGTAGATGGTGTTGCGATGGGCTCACCTGTATCTCCCATTGTCGCCGATATATTCACGGAAGACTTTGAGGAGAAAGCCCTCCTTACTGCACCTGTTACCCCAAGCTTCTACAAGCGGTACGTAGACGATATTTTCACAATTTTACCATCAGACAAAGTAACTGTATTTTTAGAACATCTTAATTCCATAAACCCTAAAATTCAATTTACTATGGAGTTAGAGGCAAATAATTCCTTAGCTTTCCTAGATGTGCTAGTCATCCGAAATCCTAACAACACCATAGGTCATACTGTGTATAGAAAAAAGACTCATACAAACCGAAACTTAAATGGTGAATCTCACCATCATCCTTCACAGTTAGCTACCGTGGGCAAATCTTTGTTACAGAGAACCTGACCAGGGGTGCTGGAAAGCACCCGAAACGTCGAGTATTAAAAATAAATAAAACGCGATAAAATCCGTAAAAGTAGTTTTAATCATTGTATAGTGTTCGCGTAAATATAAGAAATCATTAAATAAAGTATTTAATTAGTATCCTGTCATATATTATATACATATTTTATTAATCATTTATTATGCAAGTAATTACATATGTTTTTTCATAGAGTTCACGTATACTGATTGTTCTTGCGGAAGTACACGGTAACTGGTTTTAGAGGTGAAGACGAATGCAATCCCGGGGGCCAATAGAAAATCAGCGTTAGGTTTCCAACCTGACATCATGCTGAATTGGTTCCTATCTCTCGGCATCACCCTGAGGCAGTAGTTTTAAGAATATATATTATGTATATTTTTTTCCTAATTTTAACTGGCTGTTTGTTTGTTCATAAATTGTTACTTTTTTGTTTTGATTTTGTTTCTGTGTTCTGGTGCCTTGTGTGTGTCAAAAATAAATATTTCTTCTTCTTCATCTTCTTATAGGTCCGGAAAAATCGCCGGTGGTAAGCTATTCCACAGAGAGGTCGTACGCGGAAGAAAACTCCTTGTGAAACGTACAGTGCTGGACCGCCAAGCATCCACATGGTATGAATGGTATCAGGAGGATTGCCGCGTAGTACGTTCATGAAATTTGGCGGCTGGGATTATTTTGAACAATTCCTCAAAGCACTCCTCGTGATAGATGCGATAAAATACGCAAGGACTCAGCATCTCTTCGCAGCGCCAGTAAATCGAGCCGATCGGAAAGCACTCGGTCGTAGACGATTCGAGCCGCTCTGCGCTGGATGCGGTCAAGTGGGAGGAGCTGGCACTGGGGAGCCCCAGCCCAGAGATGGGAACAGTATTCCATGTGCGGCCGATCCTGCGCCTTATAAAGTCGCAGGCGGTGTGCCGGCATGAAATACTGTCCCGCTCTGCTGAGCACGCCAAGCTTTTTAGAGGCCAATTCAGCCTTCTATTCCAAGTGACCACGAAGTGGTTCCAAGGGTCTACGGGGAGGACGCCACCGACCATCCCGCGGTGTGAGTGCCGACCATGCCAGAGGTGCGGTTCACACAGCGCTCGGTTCGGAAAGCACTCCTCGCCCTGGACATCTACAAGTCAAGTGTGCCTGACGGTATCCCCAAAATTGTGCTTAGGACATGTGCTCCAGAGTTGGCACTTTCCGGTACTCCTACTCTCTAGGCGTAGTCCCAAAATCATGGAAAACGGCTCTCGTCCACCCGATCCCTAAAAAAGGTGACCGCTCAGACCCGTCCAACTACAGGCCCATCGCCATCACCTCCTTGTTCTCTAAAACAATGGAGTCCATTGTAAACTTCCGGTATGGAGCACTCACACCGCGGGTGGACACTGTGCTCCCCCCGTCATTGAGAGTTGAGTTGTACGCAAAGAGAAACCCTAACAGATCGGCTTTCTCCTTTGCGGCATGAGTCAGTGAGTTGTCCTATCTATGCAGAGATGGAAGAGATGGCTGACAGAAGTTCCCTTAGACAGTCATGGCAGGAGACCATAATACACGGGTTCCCGAAAGAAGGCGAACTAGTTTCTCGCCAATTCCGCCAATGTGCACTGACCCTGCCTTGGCAATGACTCTTTTGAAGGACTTGGAAGCGGAGTTATACATCTTTTTAGGAGCGCTGGTGTCTACATCTCGAAACGTTAATGTGTCAGCCCGGTAGCACTCCTGCTTATAGTTTGATACTATTTTACAGGAGCGACCAAACCATGGCTGGTATTTGCCTTTGGTGAGCACCCCAGAACCACATCAGCGACAGAATCAGCAACAACACTGGGTCCGTTCGGCGAGAAGCACCCACCCCAAGGGTAGGATGTAAAAAAGACCGTATCCTATCCCGATCGAGCGACCTATAGTGCCGAACCAGATAAGTAAGACAGAAATGTGCACTGTAAGAGATGGTTTTAACGGTGTATTAATTACTTACTCTTTGAGTGCGTCACGCAATGCAGGCAACTCTTGTATAAGTGTCGTGGCGGCGGCCACTACCCCAGCTTCCGGTTCGGATATTATCTTCGCCAACAGATCTCCGGCCGAACGCCATCTTGTCCAAATCTCGTGTGCGGGATCTTCAGTGATGCCTTGTATAGGTTGTACAGCCTGTAATGGCGCGCGAAGCTCTTGTTCGAGTTGCGCACGAGCTGCAGTTGGTGGCTCGAGTAGAGCGGCTGCTGTACGAAGCGCACTCGCTGCGGAATCGCAGCGTTCCCGCGCTTCAGTTGCAGCAACACTCAACCCGCTAGCTAATTCACGTACCAGCAGTGACACAGTTTCCACCTACATAAAAAAGACCATGAGCTCGCAACAAATCAATATATTACTTGCAAAATTGATAAAATAAAACGATCAACTTACCCAGTGTGTATCGATATTTCCTTCAGGATGTAACATCTCCATTAATGACTCTTCAACAGGCGATACTTGTAATGAATACTTTTGAGCCAACGTACATGCCTAAAAATAACAAAACAGTTACTATCCGTTTCAGATAGGGTATGTGATTATATCTATATATGTATATTAAATAGGATGTTGCATACTATAATAGAGAGAAATATATGCAGTAGTGAAATGCAGTATAAGTTTATTGTAAAATAAGCTAGGGTATTAAGGGGGCCAGTCTCAACGGAGACTATCCGTCGGCGCAGGATAGGTTAAAAATGCCTAAGAGCATGTCAAGCACAAGTGCACTCTCTATTCCCTCACTCTCCATAGTACGCTGCTTCGTTGGTCTAGTGGTTGTAAATGCGAACGCGCGCGGAGAGCGCAGCGCAGTGCGGTGCGGTGTAGTGTAGTGTAGTGTAGTGTAGTGTAGTGTAGTGCAGTACAGTGCAGTGCAGCGTACCTTTTCCCAGTGCGCGAGCGCGGTGCGCAGGGTGCGCGCGGCGCGCGGCGAGGCGGCGGCGGGTGCGGCGAGCGCAGCGGCGCAGCGCGCGTGCCCGGCGAGTGCACCGCCGGCCGCCGCCAGCCGACTGGCGCGCGCCTGCTTGCTGGCCCAACCCGCCTCCAGCTCGCGGACAACCGAGCGCAGAGCCGGGTTCGCACCCGCTCCCCATTTCACCCTAAATACTTTCTTTGTTAACTCACCATTCATTTATTATCATAATTAAAACCCGTCATAAATTTATTACTGAATATAGGCCTCCAAAAAAATGCCACGAATCGCGGTCCTGAACCATCTGCATACATCGACTTCCTGCACTTCCTACCATGTCCCCCCATCGGTTACACTGATTCTACTGCGAATATCCTCATTTCTGAGTCTATCACGCAGAGAAGCAACAGTACCCTAATGGTACAGTTCGGAATGATACACTCAGAAAATCGTAGATTCAAATCCATCATTCGACTACTGACGTAAACCACTCTTAACACAAGTATTTTTAAAATTACTCAGAGTGGTTAATGCAACAGGAGTATACACGTAATGTTAATAGCGTTACGATTAGTAACTTACTAATATATTTTTATACGAAAAATAAAAAACATATTGAAAGAAACTCCGAGCATAGCCCTCCTTCATAGCTCTATGAGCTTGCTTAGACTTCCGCATACGGCCAGCGACGAAATCTCAGAACCACACAAGGCCACGTCGCAGATCTATATGTCAATACTGACAACCCACACTAGTTGCACAATCTTGTTTACAAATTTCTACGTATACGTAACGGGAACATGTGTCCTGATTTCCCGAATGCTACTCAACCATGTTGTATGCATCAATTGACCTTACGCTTATCAAGTTGGACTTACATAATCAGACAATTTGTGCAAGATTGGTAAACATGCTCATTAACAACGTAGTGCTCCCACCAGCTCCCGTCCCGACTCGACAGAGACAAATCTTTTCTATATTCATTTTAAGACCTATCCGTTGGGAAACATTATTGAGGTTATAGAGCATAGTGACTGAGGTACTCAGTTTTTTTATATTATAGGGTGACGACGACGACGAGCACACAGTCCACCTGATGGTAAGTGGTTGCTGTAGCCCATAGACATCTACATCTATCCTCGATTACGAATCTAAATTCAGATGCGTTGTCACCCGTGAAGACTAAGATGGAATGCCTCGTTTCCAGTAAAAAGGGTCTCCGGTTCTCTACACTCACCATAAAAAACACAGCAGCATTAAGCAACTATTTTACGCTGGTATTCTGTGAGAGCGTGGTCCTTCCCCGGTCGAGTTGACCCATTTGTATTACAACTATACTACTAATATAACTGCAGCATGGTTCTCATACAAATGCCGATGCATTTCCGTCGGCAAATCGAAGGTGATTTAAATACTCGCGATTGATCTTGATACCTTATCCTTTTCACTCCAGGGGGGGGGGGACTACATGCAACTCTTATTACTAGTCTGTTTAAGGCGGTAAACTGAGCTGCCTTGCTTTTTCGTACTACGAACGCGTCTTATTGCAGGCCAACCTATGATGACGTGTGAGGAGTGACCGCCAAGCTGGCTCATCGTTATAAATCGATACTATGAACTCACTTGTTACAAAACAGAGTTGTGACCCGTTTATTGAACAGACTAAACACTTTCAGACTAAACACTGTAATAAAAGGTGTTTGCTGGAAGTTTTTTCCGAAAATAGCAAGAAGACGCGGCTAATAATGCAAATCGGTGTAGCTTTTTGACGAACAAGACTACTTTAACGCACCACATTCTTATGTTCACCTAAGGGATATTGCAAGAGCTTCTAAAGCACTTCAAGTACCGGTTTTGTACCGGATTTAAAAAGCTCCGTTGTAATTCTACCTCGCCGTTTTTAAGATGCTGGACAGCCATTCTAATCTCGCTCAGACTGACATTCGGGATATCACATTTAACGTTTTTTACGTTAACATTTTGGTGTTTTAGTGAGTATAGGTGTAATTTTTTCATCAACCACTCAGAAGTAGGAGCCCCGCAAATCGGGGTTTCGTCGACCGGGCTACCCTCGACTGCGCTACGTTGAGTGGCGTGGGGCTTCCCTCCTTCAACACTCTCCCCTCATAAATCAGGTTTATAGTCAAAAACATTACGAAAACTTAACCTAAAATGAGATAAAAATTTATAAAAAAAAATAAGCACGTCCTGCAGGGGAGGAGGAAGCGGGGGCCGACTCAGTACCCCGCCCCTTAATTCAGGCGACTTAATTTGGAACCTTACCCACGGAACAACCCACCGAAAACAATTTAGTAATTCGAGCTGCAAATTTTCGGGACTTTAGATAAAGGTACTGTTAACTAAGTGTTTTATTTCTTCTTTTATATAGTATATAGGATGATAATAAATAACGAATCCCGCCTTATGATAAATGAATGATGTGATAGGTACATAAAAACTAACATCTATCCCCGATTAAGAATCAAGACTAAAAATACATTGTCACTTCTGCGGACTAACATAAAAAATGTCGGGGTGGAATGCCTCGTTACCAGTAAAAAGGGTCTCCGATTCTCGTTGCTTACGAAAACAAAAACTAGAAATAAAATAATTTAATATATTTGTGTGAGTATACTCACGCAATATAATGGATTAGAAAAATAAAAAAAAATCTAAATTTTTTAGTGGTTTTTTAAAGGCTGCATTTATGTAACTTCGTGATAATTACGTAAGCTTTAGTACTAATTTGATCGACAATTCCGGAGAGTGAGATTATATTTTTACACCCATACATCGTACTACAAGATGCCCTTAATATAAACAAGCTGCAAGCAAGTTGTCTGTGACATGAATCACATGTATCACGTTACAATATCTTGATTTTATTAGGACGATACGGCGGTCAATGAAAAAATATCATAAATCGCTCTACACATTCCTGTGCCTCAATGTTATGTCATGCACAACGATCATATATCGTTATCAAATCGGCCAAATAAAAAACTCTCTTAACTTAAATGGATAATTTGTATAATATAGATTGAGACACGTACAGCCGATATTCATGATCGTCATCATCATTACAGCCTTTCGCAAGTCTACTGCTGAACATAGACCTCCCCCAAGGAATGTCACAAAGAATGGTCCTGCGCCACCTGCATCCATCGACTTCCTGCATGTCTTACCAGGTCGTCATTCCATCTAGTAAAGTGTAGTGGCAGAATACCCACTACCCATGTCTTCCCGTAGGTAGGAGATAAACTGAGCCAGAAGATGGGCAACAGCATTTTTCTGATAAGAGCAAACTAACAATAAAAAGCTGCGGTTGCCAACCCACTGACCAAGCGTGGCTACAATGGTAACATACCCCCCATGATGAGACTAAAGAAAGGATATTTATTTGACGACAATGCGCGCGTAATGTCGTTCGTATATTTATTATCAGTATTGCTCAGAGATATAAATTACATAGTCTGCATGAAATCTCACATTTTAACAGCCCCAGATAAATCTTGAAAAGCGTACCAAATTTTAGAAAATATGCTATTTCAACGATATTTAAAATGTATTCTAATATATTCTATATGAGTTAAAAAGGGTTATCGTTTATTTAGGCATCCTTGGTACGCAGATTCCATTTTATCTCTCTCTTGAATAACTTTGTTAAGCAAAAACTTTTACTGAGATGAAATTTCTAGGTCAAAACAACTCAAATAGAAAACCTAAAGTAAATAACATATTTAGATAAAACTTGTTTGATGATGATAGATCTAACATTAGTTATATTCAAAATTTGATAATAATTAAGTTATATGTTCTAGAAAATATACAACTATAATATATATATATATATATAAAAAATATATATATATATATATATTTGTGTGGGTTTTGGAAACTCCACCAGTTCATGCCTTAAAAATATATATATATATATATATATATATATATAATAGTATATTCTACATATAACTTAATTATTATCAAATTTTGAATATAACTAATGTATCTATCATCATCAAACAAGTTTTCATTTTACTTTTTCTTTTTAGACGTATATATATATATATATATATATATATATATATATATATATTTGTGTGGGTTTTGGAAACTCCACCAGTGCTCATTGTGCACGTTGTAAATTCGAACGCACCGTCTAAGTTTTCACCAGACAAGACATAAAATGTCACCATTGCTAGCTACTATAGAGCATTGATACATGTTTACGATAACTATCAGCGGCCGACCGATACGCACGCGGAAACATAAACGACGACGTCATGCCGTAGCTAAGTTTTTTTCGAGACGATGTAATAATGACTCGGCGACAGGTGGAGCAGCATTCAACGACTCTGTTGTTAAGATAGGAATATCAGTGAAATATTTCTCAAACACCGCTGCAAATTCTTGATTTTAGTTGATTAGTCATTTCGTTAAACCTTCGTTCCATAAAAATCTTGAACATTTTCTGAGACTTTGTTATAAAATCATATTATACAATATAAATTGTCCTATTAATGAATTACTGATTCTGTAGAGTCGAAAACTTTCGTAGTCGGGCATATCATTGAGACACGAACAATAAAATATTCTTTAAATTTTAGGTAATAAATATGACTTTTTTCTGCAAAACAACGATAGTTTTTAAATCAACAGCATTTCCCCATAACAAAATCCTATAAGACATTAGGGCATTGAAATAAATTATCAAGCTGTCTCGAGTCACAGTCTTATTAGGTACTTAAATTTTTTTTTACACCAGAAGCTGCCACCTGCCAAAGTTTAGTCTACCTACAGTCTTCCCCATTCAAACATATTTTTTCAGATTCACACTTTATACTTTTAACCATTTGTCTTGCAAACTTTATACGACTAAGTTTTATTACCGTTTAAAAAATATTTAAAAGGGTTAACGTTAAACTAAAGTACTAATTTTAGTTAAGCATTATTCATATCAAATTTAAAGGATTACCGTTAAGTTTAAAAACCAATGAAGTATTATCAGTAACTTTATCATGATGTTTATGATACCTTTGCACTTCTGTGCACTAGAGTGTTGACTCCTTGGTCTAATATGAAAAATAAATAAACGTCACAGAAATTCCGGCTATCCTAACTATATGCAATAACACAATAAAAATTACGCTGATCGTTCGCTGATTTCTCTAGAAAAAATTTCAATGA